AAGGGGAAGCGGAGGAGGAGGGGAAGCGAGGGTCGGGAAGGAGGGTTGAGAGGTTACGAGACGGGGGGGCTGTTTTGTCGTTATTTGGGGAGTACTGTGGATGCTGTTGTTGCGATGCGATGCTGCGGGGGGGTAAATGCATGTTTGAGGGGACGTGCGGGTATGGGGTAAGGTATGGATTGATCGATGGAGCTTTTGGGAGAGGCGTTCGGAGGACAGGGAAAGCTTTCTGTTGACTTCTCTCCGTCGTGGGCGGACTTGGGGCGGAATGGGGCATGGTGTGGATAGATGGGGTGCGGGATGTATCCTACTTCCCTGGGCTAGCAGTCGTTGTTCTAGCAAAGCAAAAAGTTACTGCCCGATCGATCATGAAAGACAGTCTAAATGTACCCCTTCCGTTCTGTCCAACACGCAAAAAGGGCTCCACCGCGATTCGAACGCGGGGCCTCTTGCAGATGAGATGGCAACCCAAAGCAAGAATCATACCACTAGACCATGAAGCCGGAATCCTGAGCAAATGTAGGTTTGAACATATATATCGTCCATGAGAAACGCATCAGTTGCCTAGCAGCCGAAGCAAAGGCTGTAACCACGGCAGGCTGCGGCGCTTTAGCAATATTTGATGGGCTCTCCCTTAGAAATTTGATTGATGGGTCCAGCATTGGCTGTTGAGTTTCCCACCGATGCTTCCGCATATGCTGCAGGCCGATGGTAATGGCATAATAATAGTACCCTTCGATGCTTCCGCGATGGCCTGAGCAGTCCCTATGCTGTCCAAATAGCTATTCGTGATCCGGTTGTTTGTCGTGCGACCCAAATTCGATCCTGGTCCAGCGGCTTCACGTTTTGCCACTCGCCCCTTGGTGTCTTGTTGTTGCTGAGCCAGCCAGACGAAGAATCTGTGATACAGGAGCTTGAAAGGAGACAAACAGTACCATGGAATTATCCGTCGTGTGAACGTTTTGCTGTAACAAAGGCCCCCGTGCGAAGCGTACAGTAGGAGGCAACCACCCCCTAGCGGGGATGTTGAGCATCTGAAATTGCCTACGATCGTGCTTGTAGGACAGCTTCTCCGTACCAACAATTTGAAGCCATGAAGAGTTGTATATGTCTATTCCGACGAGGTTTGACGATACTTGCTCTCATATATCTGCAGGGCTGAAGTCTTGGCCGAGGCTAGATCGCCGCTGCGGCATCATCGTCTTCCGCTTCGTCCAACAGCGGAAAAAGCAGGCACGGGGGAGGCAAAGGGGAAGAAGCTCACGAGCAGGCGACGACACTCACCACTGCGCGCCTCGGGACAGTATACAGTGATTGGAAAGCGTACATCTTCATCGGAGCGGGAGTGCTGGGCGGAGGCGCAATCACGGGCCAAGCAGCTTCACCTATACCAGTGAGCTTGGCGTACTGGGAACACGAGCGGCAATGGCAAGAGCACGATAACAACACGCCTCATCTCACTCCGAACCTCACTCGACACCAGCACGATAGCCTCACTTACTCTTCGACCAACTCACAGCGCCGGCGCTGCTTTCATATGATACCAGGAGCTTGAACCGGCAGCTACACATATTTTGCAGCCTACCATACCAATACCTTCCATCTGCACACACACCACTGGAAATTGAGCAGGCAATAACAGCCAAGATGGTCCTGGAAGCCCCGCTCGAGCTGGTGGGCAAGCTGGTCCGCCTCCTCAATCCGCGCAATTGGCACAAACCGCACCCCAACTTCATCACGGTCCACTACATGTTCATCATCGGATGTACCATCCTCGGCTCCATCCTCGTCTATCCCGCTGGCGGTCTGGCATACATAGATGCTCTCTTCTTCACTGCCGGTGCCTCCACACAGGCTGGCCTCAACTCGGTCAACACCAACGACATATATCTGTACCAGCAGGTGGTCCTGATGCTGATCGCCTGCATCGCCAACCCGATCTTCATCAACTCGGCCGTCGTCTTCGTCCGCCTGTATTGGTTCGAGAAGCGCTTCCAGCACCTCGTACAAGAGTCGAGGAGCGCGCGGAAGTCGAGGATGAGGACTATCAGCAGGAATAAGAGCGAGATGAAGAATGTTATAGATCCGGGCAGGTTGGAGATGGGCGTCAACGGGAGGGAGATCCGCGTTCTGCACGACACCACCACCCCGAACGGCATGAGTGGGACCA